AAGGCAGAAAGCATCTCACCACACAATCGCATAGCAACAATCAACCAAATCAGACGACATACCGATCAGGTATGGCGATTCTTTTTACAGCGTACGTATTTTCATCAAGAATGTTCTTGCACTCCCAAACGACCCCAAATCCACCATGACCCATGCAACGGATGGTCTGAAAGTCATGGCGAAACCTGCATCAAAGCAAAACAAAAACAAATCATGACGAAAATGAGCTCTCTACATACCTTGAAGCAACTGCGGCTAGGCTACTGTTGTCGCTACCCAAAGAACGATCGGTCATCGATCCCCGATTTTCGGTTTCAACACTGCTTTCATCTTGACTCTAAGAGACATACTCTTCACCCCGCTACGTTTCATTATCATATGAATGCTCATTAACGATGAAAACTCCTGCTACGTTACGGCAAATGCACATTAATGCTGATATATCACAATAGATTTTTACTATATAAGCATGGCATTTTGCAGACCAGTAGCTCTCTAGAGCATTGGCCGGGGAACATTTTTAACCTATTACCTCAAAATACATTTAAATTAAAAAGGTTTATTGAATCTATTTATACCAAGAACACAATTTTAAATATAAAAAGCATAAAATAAATGCGATAAATAAATATCTTCATCATGAAACAAAAGGATATTTTATTGAAAAATTTTTAACCTCAGGTTTTGGAGAAATGACACTGTATCATTTTTTATACGATAACATCAAAATTGGGGCATTTTGATGTTAGAGCAACTTGATACTGTCTTAGGGGTCCAATCGATTTCTCTTCTTCATTTTTATGTTCATCAGAACGGAAAATCTTTGTTCGCAAAGGTAGGTTCTTGCAAAAGGCAGCATTTTTTCGACTACGTCCTCATGCCATTTTTGAAAGCTTTTGCAGCTTTTTAAATCCAAAAATATGACAGATCTGTTTTGTTTTCAAATTTAATGCGTGCTTCATTATTGGATCAAAGTTCAAGAAGTGTCTCTGCCAACCCTTGAGGCTATTCTGGTACATCGGCAATTTTACACTTAAAAGAATCTATAACAGAACTTACAGTATATAAATCAAGATCTGGAAAATAATCAGAGAACCGCTCTTTGACTTTGGTAAGATGCCTTATAATTTCTTAATGTCGTCAAAAGTAATGTTTTCACAATCTTCCAAAAACAAAACTAACTTGGCAAAGGCAGCTATCTTGTTCTGTTCTGCTTTCTGCCTCCAATATAAAAGCTTTGATTCAAACGCTGAAATTTTTTCTCTGACTGAAATTATACTGTTTTTTCTTGCAATTCTTTGTTCAGTGCATTCACATACTCAAAAAAGCAGCTAAATATGTGGTGTGCAACCGACGAGAATATGATTTCGATAGGAGAAAATATATTAATAAAATTATCGAACATATAACTAAAATATGGTTAATAAATGAAAATTTTAGACTTAAAATAGAACCATTGACATAAATTAAATTAAATAACTACTTAAATCGACTAAAACAAAGCAAAACCATGTGCCAAAAATAGAGTTCTTGAGTTCAAAACATTTATGGTGCTACTAACAGATGATAATTATTAGTATTCATGTTCAATAACTAACACTATTACTATGCCGTGAATGAATGGAAGCGGATATATTGTTTGATTTAATGGCTAACAGTAAAGAAGACAACCTGTGTATTTGGTGATTATGTTTTAGGATGCTTCTGTAAGTTAGTACTCATTGTAATAAACAACATATCATCCACAAGGAATTTCAGGGCTATCGGAGAACAAACTTCAAACCAGTGCTACGTTCCCTGTGAAACTGTCTCTGGAAGACGAAGGATTTACTAAAATAAACTCTACGAATCTTACGTCTCAACCAAACTGGCACTGATCATTATCAGGGGCAAAAAAAACAAAACACGTAATTACGTACATTCACGTGACGGTTTCTAATGAGCGACTGAAAATTTAACCAGTGACGGAAAAACGTGGAATTAGCTAACTCGATTAGCGGACCCCTGTTTAAGGGAATACGCTAAAAATAAGAAGACTGATGAATCGTCATCCCACCTGATATTGGCAGACTTGCTGTAAACATGGCAAATAAGAATGCCCCACGTCC